CATTTTCCTCCAGGTAGTCATCTTCCCCCCCACCCCCATCTGCTAACTTCCGAAGATGTTTTGATGTGAAGGTTTCTCCTTGTCGGTCCTTTCCCATTTCAGCATCTGTCAGAAGTGCTGAAAATGTGCCACATTATTTTGGTAATCTTATTAAGAACAAGCAAGTAAAGCAAGTCAGATTCTAAAGGAAAAGCTGAGTCATGTTCTAGGAATACTCTTGTACATTGAATATGTGTGCGTATTTTTAAAAATAGCAACCCATTTTTTCCAGCCTCGGATTGTTTTGAATATTATAATAAAGGCGCATTCTGTGTTCCAAGAAGAACACTCTTTGAGATGCTGCATTTGAATGGGACATTTGGGTTCCTTCCTTTCTTAAGCCAGACTCATTTCACAATTATTTATCTCCTTCACAATTAAATGCCTGTGACGTGCTTGAATGAGTTCAGAATCCTGCTAATTAAAAAGTGAAATGTGAAGGTTCATAAATCTGGGAGTAAATAGCAGACAATGTACATAGATGCAATGGACATAATAAGAAATAATAGGACCCCCTCTCTCCCATACCACCACCCTCATTGGCTATCTTAATAAATCAGTTAGATACTCCTAACAGAAACCCAGCATTTGGAATCCTGCACAGCAGAAAGCAGTACAGAAAGAAGCTAATACAGTAGTGGCCTGCCCCAATATATTTAGCTGTCTGATGTGGAGCCCAGATGTGCCTCACTTTGGGGCAAGCACTTAAAAAAATCCTTTGTAACATCAGTTGGGAAGGGTCTTAGCTCATTTATAGAGCACCTGCTTTCCATGCAGAATGTCCCAGGTCTAATCCTCAGCATCTCCAGGTGGGGGTGGGAATGTCCCCTTTCTGGCACCTTGGAGATCCACTTACAGTTAGCATAAAGGTAAAGGTAAAGGGACCCCTGACCATTAGGTCCAGTCGTGACCGACTCTGGGGTTGCGGTGCTCATCTTGCTCTATAGGCCGAGGGAGCTGGCGTACAGCTTCCAGGTCATGTGGCCAGCATGACTAAGCTGCTTCTGGCGAACCAGAGCAGTGCACGGAAACACTGTTTACCTTCCCGCCAGAGCGGTACCTATTTATCTACTTGCACTTTGACATGCTTTTGAACTGCTAGGTTGGCAGGAGCAGGGACCGAGCAACGGGAGTTCACCCTGTCACAGGGATTCGAACCGCCAACCTTCTGATCGGCAAGTCCTAGGCTCTGTGGTTTAACTCACAGCGCCACCCGCGTCCCTACAGTTAGCATAGACAACACAATTAAAAAATTCCTCCTTAGAGACCAACTAAGTTTGTTGTTGGTATGAGCTTTCGTGTGCATGCACACTTCTTAGATACACTGAAACAGAGGTCACCAGACCCTTATACAGTACATAGTGAGAGGGTAGGGAGAAACCAGACAGAGAGAAACCAGTAGGAGGACATTTCAGTCTCCCAGGACATTCTATACAAGATCTCAAAGTAGCTGTCTTATTACAAAAGAATTTCAGAAATAGACTGGAAAGAGAAGTTGCTGAACTGCAATTTATTACCAAACTTAAAACCATGGAGAGACCTGGTCTGAATAGAGACATTGGATTCTTATCTCATTATACATGATAAAGCTATTTTTAGCCATCTCACCCCTTGCTTTTCCTGTAAGACCAATTGCAGTCGTTAACAGTCGTCAACAGGTTTACCACACCTATCAGCCAATCACCCATTCCCACCACCCTTCTGAGTAATACCCCTCCCCACCCTCTCACTATATATAATAATTGTTATTAGTTTTCAACATATCATTTCCAACAGTAATTAAACATATTTTGACATCTTATACATTTTTTGACTTCCATCAATCTCATCTGAAAATTTTCCAATCTAATCACTAAATACACATTTCCCACTATTAACTCATAACTAATATCACTATTTTTTCTCTAATTTGCAATGGTTCATACATTTCTCCTTACACAGCTTCTTGTAGTCCTACTAGCATAATTTGTTGGTTACAGTTGCTCTTCAAATAGTTCGTATATTTCTTCCAATCTTTTGTAAATTTCTGGTCCTGCAGGTTTCGAATCCTTCCTGTCATTTTATCTAATTCTGCATAGTCCATTAATTTTGTTACAATGGGAGAGATATTAAGTGGATTAAGACCTGGGAGATTAGGGTTAAAATTGCCTCTCAGCTATGATGTTCACTTTATGATTTTGGGCCATTCACTATCCCTCAGTCTAACCTACCTAAAGGTTTGTTGTGGGGATAACATGAGGGAAAGGAGCTCTTGAGCTCCATGGAGACAAAAATTGAATGGATATAAAGAATACTAAAAATAAAGAACACTAAAAATAAAAATTCTCTTCAGTCTGCCAGTCACCAGCTTTGAATTAGGGGAGGGGGACAGGTGTGGAATCATGAAAACAACAACAACCATAAAAATAAAAGAGAAATGAATCCGGGACACAGTCATGATATTCCGGCATACAAAGATTTGACTTTACACGAAGGTCCGAAAAACCAAATCCAAATTAGAGTGAGAGAGAAAACAGGGAGACATAATTTGAATTTTTAAATTTAACAAATGCTTTTCCAGACTTTCCCTGTGCAAATTCACTAATTATTGAAGAAAACATCACTTATGCAATGTCACATTTGATATTAAGCATATTACAATATTTTAATCAGTTAAGAAAAAGGCTTTTTCTTCTTCATCAAATCACATCTCTTATTTGTTTAAATCTGCAGCTGATAATATATGCCACAATTTGATCCAATACACATAGACACATGCCTTAATGGCTGTCTTCTAACTAAGAGCTGAAAACCCACATTGAATTATACAAGTCTAGGATCAGTTAGAGAATTATTGTCCTCTTTTGTTTTGAGTGCATCCTACTTTTTTCCATTTCAGTCTCTGAGGCCTCATATAATAGAATACGTAAAATCTAAATCCTGAAGCTGACTGAATTAGTGCGTAGGACTTGTTTTACTAATGTGCCTAACCAGTTTGAGTCTGTGCTATACATGTGTAAGGCAAAGTGCCATGTAAAAAAGAACAATAATGCATGAGAAAATAGGCTTCCAGGTGGAAAAATCAAAATTAGAAACAGAACTGTTAGAACCCAAAACTAAGATTTTGTCAAAGATGTATAACTTGCTGTTGAAATGGAATACTCAGGACGAAACGGTGAAATCTGCTATGATTAAGTGGGCACAAGATGTTGGACATAACATAATGATGGCTGACTGGGAACAGTTATGGACCACAGGTATGAAGTTTACGGCATGTAATGCCTTAAGAGAGAATATTATGAAAATGATATACAGGTGGTACATGACACCAGTCAAGCTTGCAAAAATCTATCATTTGCCCGATAATAAATGTTGGAAATGTAAAGAGACTGAAGGTACATTCTTTCACCTTTGGTGGACTTGCCCAAGGATTAAGGCTTTCTGGGAGATGATCTATAATGAAATGAAAAAGGTATATAAATATACCTTCTTGAAGAAACCAGAGGCCTTTCTCCTGGGCATGGTCGGCCAATTGGTGCCAAAGAAGGACAGAATTTTCTTTATGTATGCCACAACAGCAGCAAGAATACTTATTGCAAAGTATTGGAAGACACAAGATCTACCCACTCTGGAAGAATGGCAGATGAAGGTGATGGACTATATGGAACTGGCGGAAATGACTGGCAGAATCCGAGACCAGGGAGAAGAGTCGGTGGAAGAAGATTGGAAGAAATTTAAAGACTATTTACAGAAATATTGCAAAATTAATGAATGTTAGAATGATGTCAGAATGAAATTAAGTGGTCTTAGCAGCAATGTTATAAAGGTGTATGTAAAAATGGATTGTTAACAGATGAGAATCCAAAGTTATAATATATTAAGTTAAAGGATTAAGACAAAAACAAAGAGGGAAAGGAATTGCTGAACTAACCTATAGAACTGGAATACAAAAAAGGGAGGTGTGAGGAAGTCAGGGAAGTAAGGAAATGAAATGTAAGTTATGGAAAGATCGATGTGTTTTTTTTAAAAGTGTTTTTTATCTTTTTCCTGTATTTTGTATTTTTTTCTTTTTTATTTCATTTTCTTTTTCTTTTTATCTATGTAATCTTTTCTTTGAAACTTTAATAAATATCATTAAAAAAAATAACAATAATGCATGGTACGCACAGACACTTTTAAGCAAAGATCTTAAAGATTTGATGGACGGATGGTCATAAATGAGCAGTCAAGTTCAGATGGCTCTACCCACTTTGGCTGAGGCTCAGACTTTTACTGAGGAACACAGATAAAACTTGCAGGTAACAAAAGAGACCACTTCTTTCCATTTGGAAAAAAACCCACACAGTAATGTTGGGGGGACACATTCCACTGGGTTTTAAAATTCCCTGTGGGAAGTGGATTAAGGCTGCCTTTGTAACCTCACTTACCTGGGATTCAGTTAGACTTCCTTCTGAGTAGACATGATTAGGATTGTAGTTTTAGTGCATATACACTGCTTCTAGTAATGAAGAGCAGAAAGAGAGAGAGAGAGAGAGAGAGAGAGAGAGAGAGAGAGAGAGAAAGGAAGGAAGGAAGGAAGGAAGGAAGCCCCTGTCAGGGCAGCAGCAATTAAATATCAATGAATATGTCAACAACATAGATTGCAAAGGACAGCCTACATTTATTTATATATAATATTTTTATAATAGTAACAAAACAATTTCGTTGCACAGAAGGTAAAAAGGATTGACAGGAAGAGTCCATGCTGTGAAGGGAGTTGAATGGGCAGACCGAAGGAGAACTATTTGACAGTCCATTGTCAATGGATTCCTCTGACATCCCTAAACCTGGCAAATGTATTTCTCAACCCTGGTTTCATTTACGCTTCTTTTCTGACCTGTTTGACTACTCTAAGAATAACCTGTATGTTCAGATTTGTCATGTGATACAATGAAGGTAGAGTTGGATGAGCTGCTTTGCTTGCCTCCTTTTTCTCTCATGGTATAGGCTACAGCTTATGCTGTCATAATGGAAAAGTTATTGTTTGGTTCCTTCTCTTCATAAAGAATGGCTTTTCCTTAGAAAACTAGCACAGCTGAATAGGACTTCTTCGAAGAACGGTACACTCCTTCTATCTGGGATGGTCGTCCTCTTCCACTGAGCACGCAGCTTCGGGAGGGACGCACATGGAGCGGTGAGGGAGGAAGGGGACACCCGCCTAGCCAGCCAGATCAGCCGAATCAACCCTGGCGATCAATGGGGTGACAGATGTCGCAGCCAGATCGCCCTCACATCTTCTTCTTTAAAAATAATAATAATAATAAAAATCCCCTCTTTGCTGCCCGGAATGGTGTACTCTTAACAGGCCCGTACCTCATTCTGCTTCCAAACATGAGTTAGTTCTTCCTGTCAGCGGTTTCTTGGAATAAAATCTGTTGCTCTGTCTGTCTTGCTATATTAACGCATGGCAAATCTTCGTATGTGCATTTTTTAAAATATAAAAAAACCATCTTATGTTGAAACCCCCATAATCGTAAGATAGGTGAAACTATGTAAAGGAAATGAAAATAAAATTTTCATAGGGGTTTGAGGCACAGCAAATGCTCACCACAACCTCTTTTGACAATCCTGCTTCACCAGAAGGCCTGCCCACAGACTGAAGATTCACTCTTTGCTTCAATTTGCATTCTTGGGCCTATAAATGTTTTATGGCCTCCCGCTATGAGCACTCACAGCTAGAAGGAGGTAATGCAAAATTGATCTGTGTATTAAAACAGCTGAGTCTAGTGGGCCTCCTATGACATGTTGGAGATTCAACAGGACTTCATAGACACAAATCCGTTTACTTCTTCACTTCCACCCCCAAATCCCGGACAATTGCTGGTTATGGAAATTATGTAATGCTACCACTCCCCGTGAAGTATTTCCAACGGCAACAGATGAGTCATTTGTCAGGGTGTGGAACACCAGGGTCCCAAGCAAGAACCTCAGGCATTTTCTAATGCCATCTTGTGGTCCTTCCCATTTACGTCAGGGCAGGGGGGTAGCTCTCAACTGAATGCCATTACTTGCACAAAGAAGTTCCTTGGATAAAGGTTAATGAAGAGAGCTCTGTATATTTTGAGACCCTACCAGTCCCTTGACATCCTAGATCAGGCACATATTTATGTGCCTTTAATCCTACACTTTCAAAACATGGGGAGGATCGGCCTATAAATTTGTATATAAATCTAATGAACAACAACAACCACTTTCATTTTAATTAGAAGAAGAAGAAGAAGAAGAAGAAGAAGAAGAAGAAGAAGAGGAGGAGGAGGAGGAGTTTGGATTTGATATCCCGCCTTTCACTCCCTTTAAGGAGTCTCAAAGTGGCTAATATTCTCCTTTCCCTTCCTCCCCCACAACAAACACTCTGTGAGGTGAGTGGGGCTGAGAGACTTCAGAGAAGTGTGACTAGCCCAAGGTCACCCAGCAGCTGCATGTGGAGGAGCGGAGACGTGAACCCGGTTCACCAGATTACGAGACTACTGCTCTTAACCACTACACCACACTGGCTCTCTATAAAGATTTTATCTGCCCTTAAGTGTATATCAGCATTCCAGTTTTTTGTTTATTAATAAAAAATATTTATATACCACTATTTATGAAAAATATCAGAGTAGTTTACAGCAATTATGTATAGAACCGTACAATAGAAATCGTATAAAAATATAATCAGCAATCAGCTAACCAATATGGAAAGTTGTGTTCTTAAGCTTAATGGAATAGATTGGTTGTCAGCAGGTATTTAAAAGTTGAAACAGAAGGTGCCTTACTGAATCTCTATTGGCAGAGTTTTCCATAATACTGGACGACACTAATACAAGGGGTATTTTTGTGTGCAATGTTTATCTGCATTATTGTATTGGATCCTGCCTTTCTTCTACGAGGGAAGGGCATAGATAGGTTTCATAGGCAGTCTCCTCTCCAGGCTCTGATCAGATTAAGAATTGCTAAATGTGGCTGCTTCAAGTGCATTCAGACCAGAACACTTGTTGCTCTCGGGATGATTCCAGTTTTACAGATGGCAAATTTTATGAGAGATGGGCAAAATGCAGTGTTCCACTAAAATGCATTCCAAGTCCAGAGATGTATGCTGGAAGTGTAGGAAATGGGTGTTATGTGTGAGAAGAAGCACATTCTGCGAGGACATCATTGCACTTCTATTTCAGATGATGTCATCCTTGAATCCATTTCTGAATGCCAGTATGAGGAGAATGCAGGCTGCCCCTCTTGGCCATTCCAGGTCTGAGGAAATAGCACATCTACCTTTCTCAGACTCCTCATTGTAAGTGCTTCCAGAATCAGTCAAGGGCTCTTTAAGACGCCATGGACAGACCCCCCAACTACAGTACAGACCTTACTAGCCTGTAAGCCAGGCATAGGCAAACTCGGCCCTCCAGATGTTTTGGGACTACAACTCCCATCATCCCTGACCACTGGTCCTGTTAGCTAGGGATGATGGGAGTTGTAGTCCCAAAACATCTGGAGGGCCGAGTTTGCCTATGCCCGCTGTAAGCTTTCCCCTGGCTTTAGCTCTCTGCTCATAAATCTCTCTATAGAAATCAGGGCTCAGTGGGAACTGTCCTTGGTCCTGATTTCTGTTTAAAAGAGACCTGCCTTAACATGCTTATGCCTGACACAATCTGCCCAGAAGGGGACTCTGTTTGACTGCTTCCACTTTTCCCGTGAGCATCAAGACCCAGTGAAACAGGATAGATGACTTAATATGCTTTATAAACAAATCTCCTTTAGCTGTAATCCCATGAACACACTTACTAGGGAGTAATTGAATAAATATACATACATAGGCTTTACTTGTCAGTAAACATGCATAGGGTTGTTATTTACGTATTACCGAGATACTTAAAAACGTAGTCTGAATTGGACATTTAGTATCACTGCAGAGCTGCTGAATGAAACAGCTTTGTCAACAGGTAACAGTAATTAAAATGACTGAGTGCATGATACTATTTACCTGTTCGTGGTGGGAGAAATGGATACCACAAAGTGTGCTTCATTTTATTTTGATAGCAAATACACTGAGAGGCTAAAAATCCTGAGAAATTCTCAGTGTAGTAGAGTGGGAGATTCAAATTTGGACCTTATAGAAAAGTTTTAAGCTTACATATTGCCCCATGCTAAGAATGAAGGTCTGAGAGCTGGATGTGGTTCAATATTTGCAAGATTATTCTTTCACCTATTGAGGAACTGCAGGAATCAAACGTAAGACAGCTTGACCACCTGCAAGCAATTCAGATGTGAGGAGATTGAAGGGAAGATACCAGAGTCTCATTGAGTAGGTAGTGCCAACTTGGCTCCTGCCACAGCACCACTGTTATACCTGAAATCAGAATTCTGTTCTGGAAATGAACTGATAGAAGCTAACACCAGAATGCACTCTAGCCCCAGCCCAGAGTTGGACCCCCCCCCATTTTGTACAAAGGGATCCATTTCTTCCCTAAACTATCTCTAGATTTGAACTATATTCATCTATCCCAAAGTCTAAATGTTCTGGTCTTTTACAAGTCACTAGCATTAGTGATATTTTGTTTTACAAGAGAAATTAAAAACAACAACAACATCTTGGGTGTAACAATTACCTTGAGAGAAAATGGACATACATCCCTCTTTAAAAGGTGACTGTCCCCTAGACAGCCAAAATCATGGCTGTATGTTAAGTATGAGTTGGCTGAATCATATTCTGCCATTATAATGGGAATTCCCGGCCGGGTGTGGGTGGGTCCAGCAAGTTCTATGGCTAATAGTTCAAAAAATGGTTGAACACGATTGCTTTGGCAGAAGTTGCAAGTGTCAAATCAGATCAGATCAGAAGTTGTGAAGATCAAATCCTTCAAGCATCTCTAATTGGAAAGCATGGGGTAAGGGTGAAAATGAGGTCTCAGCTGAGCACGACTTCTTATTTAAAGCTCCTTAACCTTATTTCTCAGCTTCTAAAAATGCATATAACTAACAACTCCACATACCCACGACCTCCTAAGAAACTTCTTTACGAAAGAATGCCACCAATTGCCATGGAATAATGTTTCACTGGCCTATTCCTAAAACTTGCTATGGCATCAAATGCCTGTCCTGGAGGATACCAAATGCTATGCCAGCACAATAATACAAACTGCTGTTGTTGCAGGTAGAGGAAGTGGTACTGATCTTGAGGGACTGGAATGTTAGTTTGCTAAGGGCTTTGTTATAACACTTTTGCCATTCATTCTCAATCTGTTGTGGACATGATCTATACATTTGTACATCTATAGCTACTTGTTTCCCCCCCTTCCCACCAATCTGCTGTGTGTGCATAGCTGAAGAAAACTCAGTTGGATTCCCCCCCCCCTTAGCCATGATTTATGAACCTTAACATCTTTCTCCCCACCCCCCCACTAGTCGTTATCGTCACTTAAAAGGGGATTTCCTTGGAGCAACCTTAGCTACAAAGTGAATAACAAATGCTTTTCTATTCCCTTGCAATCCATTTACGATCAATGGGGGCTGCTTTAGACCCCCCCCAAAAAACCCCTAAACCAGGACTTAGAGTGTTAAGAAAAGGTTCAATTTCTTAAAAGAAATCCTGAATCAACCTGAAATTTAAAGTCTGCTCCTAGCCCAATCTTATCCCTAGAAATTTACATTTTGTCAACCTAATGCTGGATTGTCAATACATATTGGAGGCCTAAATGTCCACATGGCTAAAAAAATAAAATGTAGTTTTGCAAAACAGTTTTATTGAGATTGTGATGGTCACGTCCCACCCACCCTGGCTGTTGTGCCAATGAGGGAAGAGAGTTTCTTGCCCCCACACAATGTGCCTGTCTTCTCAGCCTTACTCCCATCCTTTATATAACAGCTGTCATCAGACAAGGAGTTAATTATTTTCACAAGGCTGCCCCTTATCAAACAGCACCCCAAATTTTCCCGGGGCCTCCTTGAAGACACTTTCTAAAAAATAAAATAAAATAATAAATTTGTATTAGTTTTCTTTTCTCAAAACAAATATCCAATATCATTGTTAAACACACATTTTCCAGTCCCCCCCCCCCCCGTTGACGTCCCTCAACTACCATTTCTGGTCTATTACATCAGATGATACATTCTGCTGTTTATATACAATATTATGTTATCACATTGTTAAACTTGTGGGACTTGACATCTTTCCGCAGGGCCTGCAAGACAGAGCTGTTCCACCAGGCCTTTGGCCAGGGCACAGCCTGACTCCCTCCTTTGGCAATCTTCACAGAACTCTAG